GCAAAGCACATTGCCAACCCAGACCGCAAGACACGATTCTCTTGGAGCGAATTTGGACAGATTGCGGAATCATCGAAACTTCATGTCACAGTGACACCCGAGCATCCCAACGAAACTCGCACGAACGGTCTTGTCGGAGGAAGGCCTGGCTGCCAAAGGATCTTGCGCCAAACGAGCGTGACCATCCGCAAGCCCCTACCACGACCGCATAGAGGGCGCACACTCACCGCCAGACCGCACAGAGCGATTATCCTCACACGACAATTGCGTCTGACCTTTTTTTTGAGCTGGTCTAGATCTATCCAAAGCCTCCAACGCGCCTCCGAGGATGACACCCTCCAAGAGGCACCCCCGTTGGTCCGGAGGACAAAAAACAGGCTTCAAAACCTCTACCCTGCGCGGTGGGACGTCCGCACGCTGCGAGATCCTCCTCGCAGGGCTTTTGTCGGAATCCTCCTACATTGCTGCGGCTAAGAAGAGACAGAATCTGCATCGCTAATCGCTCCTCCTTTTCTGAACCACCTCATGCCTCCTCTTTTCCCCATACTTGCGTCGCAGCAGCTCAACTCGCCGTTGTTGACTCCGTGCGCGCGCGAGCCTCGCCGCAATGCGTCGGCGACGTCCGATCTGTACCTGTGTTTCAAAGACGTTGCGCCGTATATTCGGAAAAGAAACCCACAAGCCAGCATATGAGGGGGACGCCCCTACGTATGTGTACATATATATATATATATATATACTTGCGTGGCGGGGGGACGCCCCTATACCATCTGGCTTATATCTACACATGCCCGGCATACGCAACAACTACTTGAGATCTGCTCGTAACTGCTGTCGCTGGCGCCTCATCATCATCCGCTGTCGCTGGCGCCGAATGAACACACCAATAGCCAATTCTTGAGCCAAAAAAACACGGTGTCGAATGGCACCGCGCAGTGCCACCTCTGTGCACGCATGCCTGCCCATGTTATGTACGCGTGTGTGTAGAATATAAGATTGCATGTGCTTCTGTACATATACACATATGCATATGTATATACACAACCATTAGTACATACAAACGTACCAAGTTGCTGAGAGTGGACCTGATGCGAGGCCGCAGCAACCAGCGGCAATTTGGCGCGGCGACATGGGGGGCCACTGCACAAGACAAAACCACGCGCGAGATAGCAAAAAACATATTGTTCATGCTGCACGGAACCCCCCCCACACCCAAGCCCTTACCAGATATCCCAAGGGGTCGGCGGTGTGGCGTAAGCCCATGAATCTTCTGAAAGAAAACAAATATCTGGAATATCACAGGGGTGTCCGTTGTCGCCTTTTCTTTTCGTCATGTTGATGACTGTGGTCCTGCGAGACGCCGTGAACAACCTGAGCGACAATGACAAGTTCGAGATGGTTTCTGGAAGTCTTTCGGTGCTGCTGTATGCCGACGACACGCTGCTTATCGGAAGAAGCCAAGCCAGCTTACAAAACCTCCTAGACAACATCGCTTTGGCGGGGGTGCGGGTTGGAATGGAGCTGCACTGGGACAAATTCCAGATGATCAAGATAAACAGCGACGTGACGTTGAGGACGCCGGCGGGGCAACTCATTCCCGAAAAACGAAGCATGACATATTTGGGTGCTACTTTGTACAATAATGGGCAGTTGGGTACCGAGCTAAACAAAAGAGTAGGGGCAGCTTGGGCCGAATTTTCCAAGTATGACAGAGCATGGAAACACACTGCTTTGAGCAACCAGCGAAAACTGTATCTATTCCAAGCACTGGTCACATCCAAAATCATGTACTCACTAAACACGGCGTGGTTAAACAAAGCAGAAAGGCGAAGGCTGGATGGATTTCAAGCAAGATGCCTGCGACGAATACTACATTTACCTCCCGCCTTTATTACGCGAGTACCGAATAGCAAAGTTGTGGAACAAGCTGGCCAAAAGCAATACAGCGCGCAACTTCTTCAACAGCAAATATTACTATTTGGCAAAGTTGGCCGAGCTCCAGATACAGACTTTCTTCGGCAACTTACTTTTCAGCCCGGCACTGTTCTTTCAGCCGTGGATGCATACCCGAGGAGGAGAGGCAGGCCAAAACACGAATGGGCGAAATGCCTACACAAGGCTTTGGTTGCTCATCTTGGCCCGGAACATACTTGGGCGCAGCGCCTGCAGGACCCCATCGAATGGCGAAGTATTTCTGAACACATTGCACACCATGATGATGAACCCGATCGCCAGTAGCATTATGTAGCTTGTACATACCTTGCATGTGATGCCCGGTGCCTTGGCGTCCTTTCTGCAGCCTTCGGCCGGATACGTTCCAAGCGAAGTCCGTATCATTCGCCGGCCGTTTGTCTTCCCTCTTTCCTCCTGCTCCTCCTCCTGCTGCCGTGCACGTTGTGTTTTATGCGACCGCCGTAGTGCCGCCGCTCCCGCAAAGCGGTGAGAATCGGCTGGCCTTGCCTTGTCTTCTTTCGCCCAAGCGCTCCGGCGTATGGCATGCGTGAGTGAGTCACACACACACACACACCCATTCAAATAAATCCGAAAGATGCTTTGTGGGGTTGCGTGGGCCCCCAGTCCCTGGAGCCCTCAGAGAACCCCGAAACGGCTCCGGAGGGCCCCCCGAAGGGCCCGAAACGGCACCGGAGCTCCCCAGAAGAGCCCCGAGACGGCCCATGGGAGGCCCCGAGACGACACAAGACGGCTTTCAGGCGGTCCAAGATGTTCTCCAGACGGCTCCAGGAGCCCCAAAGACGCCCCCGAACGGCTCCAGGCGGGTCCAAGGGGTCCCCCGAAAGGGCTCCATCAAGCAAAAACCGTCAGAGTCCCTTCGGAAAATTGACATTTTCAGCAGATTCTGGCTTATTGCTTTTCGAAGCGTCCAAAACGGCCCCAGAGGCCTCCAAGATCGCCCAAGACGGCTTCCAAGAGGGCCCAAAGATGGCTCCAGACGGGCCCAGGACGGCCCAAGAGGCGCCCAAGGCGACCCAAGAGGACCCCACGAGAGGCCCAAGAGGGGCCCAGGACAGCCCCGAGACAGCCCAAGATGCTCTCAAGACGGCCCCATGAGCCCCAAAGACGCCCCCGGACGATTCCAGGCGAGTCCAAGGGGTCCCCCGAAAGGGTTCCTTCAAGCTAAAGTCGTCACATTCCCTTCGGAAAATTCACATTTTCAGCTGATTCGGCCTATTGCTTTTCGAAGCGCCCAAAACGGCCCCAGAGGCTTCCAAGATCGCCCAAGACGGCCCCCAAGAGGGCCAAAGATGGCTCCAGACGGGCCCAGGACGGCCCAAGAGGCGCCCAAGACGACCCAAGAAGACCCCACGAGAGGCCCAAGAGGGGCTCAGGACAGCCCACGATGGCCCCAAGACGGCCCGATAGGCGCCCAAGATGGCCCAAGACGGCCCCAAGACGGCCCTCGAGGCGACCTGCCGGCCCAAGAGGGCTCCGAGAAGCCCCCGAGGAGCCCAAAACAGCCCCCATAGAGCTCCCAAACGGCTCCCAAAAAGCTTCAAAATTGTTTTCAACAGAGGGGGGCGGACAAGAGGCGAGAGGCCCCTCGCAAGCGCAAAAACAAATGTTTTGACGCTCCGGTGGCCCTGGGGCTGCCCCGCTGCGCTCCCTACTTTGCCGCGACGCCGTTCCGACGCCTCCGACGCGGCCCGAGACGGCGCCGCGTTTGCCCGAACCCGCTCCCGCGTCCGCCGCGATCCCGGCGCGAATCTTCCAACGTTGCCCAGGCCTCCTGAATTGCTGCCTCTTGCGAAGCTCGAACGCTTCGGCCCCCGTTCCGATGCATTGGGCGCCTTCGGTGGGGGAACAGCACTAGAACAAGCTTCAAGGGATCTACGGCAGTAGCTGGCAGCATCGCACCACCCAGCGCGCGCCACCATGCTTCGATCCGCCCAACTTCGTGGATTTAATCCACGGGTCCACACTCGTATATATATATATATATATATATATATATATATACACATACATCTCGCCCAAGTGTTCCCCAGAAGGTTCCCGCAGCGGCTGGGGGAGCACATAGTCCAAAAGCTTGACGCGACGGTGACCCAACGTCTGGCCGCAAGGTTTTTGTCCCCAAAGGCAGGGGGCGGCGGTGAATCGTCGTAAGCGGCTTCGATATAAACTAGAAGCTGCACAAGGAGCAGCTTCATACTATCGAAGACTGCAGCGGATGGTGGCTACGAGGATGAAGCATACTCAGTCTATGCCGGCTGCTCGAGAACTTGCGAAGGGACTCTCCGAATCCTGCAACGGGAGGAAGCAAATGCTCGCAATGGCCAGGGCCCGCCACACGCTCAGACGAGCTGGCAACGGACCGCCAGCTCACAGGGAAAATGGTGAGCGGGCAACTGCTCCTCCTACACCCTCCCAGCTGGCTGCTGACCCACATCACCTGGCACACCAAGGTGGAAGCCCGGGTCAGGAGAGCTCGAGCTGGAAGGGCCCGTGGCCCGCCTGCATGGCCCGTGCCCCACCTGCAGGGCCCGCGGCCCGCCTGCGGAGACCGAATCGGCACAGCCCCACCCGCAGGGCCCGTGGCCCCAGGGTCCCCGGGATGTGCTGCCCGCGGGGTCTCACGAAAAAGCGCGGCGAAGAGGAATCGGGAGTCAGCGGCGCGGCCCAGGGGGCAGGCCCGGGGGGGGCGGGCCTTCGCGGGAGGCACACAAGGCCGGCCCCTCTCACCTCCCCTCTCGGCGCGCTGCGGAAGGAGCAGCTCCCTCGGATGATGAATACATTCCGTCCATGCGAGCCCCAGTCGCTTGTTTTCATGTTAAGGGCAACCGTAAGAGGGGGTGACCGGCTCAGAGGGGAAACATCGGGCTGGAATCGGCGATGTATCGTGGGGGTTGATGCGTGAGTCTATCCACCCACCCTAACGTTGCCCCTGTAATCTGCCGCACACCAAGTCAGAACTGCGCGAAAGGCCCTGGCAAATTGACACTCGCTCCGCGGGGGGGCCCAGAAACCATCTGGCCTCCCGCGCTATGCCGCGGCTGCTGCGCGCGTCGCACGGTCGGCTGGTCCCCAAAGCCCCCCAGAATTTGGCGGCTTGGAAATTGGCGATCCGACAGAAGGCCGCTCCGAGGCCTCTCGGCCTCCGAGCGGCAGTCGGGATTCCACGGGGACCTGCCACGGCGACTCCGACGTCCAGCTGGAGCGCCTCCACCGTGGAGAAGGCCACTTCCTCCCCATGCCGCGGCCCTGGCATCGCGGGCGGCGTGAGTGTCAACTCGCCGTCAAAGCCGCGCTCTGACTGCGACGTGTCACCGCACTGTTGCCGTGCCGATGTGTCGAGTCGGCGGCGTGCGAGAAGGCCCTCGGCACGGCTGCAGCGCCCCAGCGGCGACCAAAACTCGCGGCCGTGGCACACTGCGCTGTCGCAACGAGGCCTGAACTCGGCCCGAGAATGCGTTGAGCATCGATTGACAAACTGCGGGGAACCGTGGAAAACGTTTTGGCGCTAGCGCGTGGCGCAGAGAAGGACTGGGGCGAGTGGGCGGCACTCTGTGAAGGCATCGGGGTTCTGAAGAGGTTTTTGCCCCGTCGCTGGGATGAGAAGAGTCAGCACAACGAGAAACAATGCTGGGGATCAACGCTGATTTTTCCCCAAACAGCTTGCTGAACGGGGTGCTGTTGTGATAGAAGCTAACTCCGGCCGAGGGAAGTCGGAGCAAAGACACCCTCACAAAAATTTGATGGTCCGGGCCGTTTCGCTTGAGACATCCTCACAACTCTCGTTTCTGAGTTGGCCGGGATTGGCCGTTTCGCCTGAGACATTCTCGAACAATTGCGCTCTGGGACGCCGCGCGAGAGGTGGTCCGGGCCGTTTCGCTTGAGACATCCTCGAAACTCTGAGCCCCGAAGTGCCGTGCGAGGTGGTCCGGGCCGTTTCGCCTGAGACATCCTCGAAACTCTGAGCTCTGAGATGCCCTGCGCGAGGTGGTCCGGCCCGTTTCGCCTGAGACATCCTTGAACTTCTGACCTCGGAGATGCCGCGCGAGAGGTGGTCCGGCCCGTTTCGCCTGAGACATCCTTGAACTTCTGAGCTCTGAGATGCACTGCGCGAGGTGGTCCGGCCCGTCTCGCCTGAGACATCCTCGCAACTCTGAGCTCTGAGATACCGTGAGCAAGGTGGTCCGGCCTGTTTCGCACAAAACATTCTCGCAACTCTGAGCTCCCAGATGCCGCGCAAGAGGTGGTCCAGCCTGGGGGCCCAGAATGTTACATACATGGGACCTGAGCTCTGAGCTTACCGTGAGCAAGGTGGTCCGGCCCGTCTCGCCTGAGACATCCTCGCAACTGAGCTCTGAGATGCCGTGCGCACAAAGACATTCTCGCAACTCTGAGCTCCCAGATGCCGCGCAAGAGGTGGTCCAGCCTGGGGGCCCAGAAGACCACATGTTACATATCCTCCCTGGGACCCTCGCCTGAGAGAAACCAGCCTGAGGGGCGCTCTGATATGCCGTGCGCAAGGGTGGTCCGCGTTTTCGCAGAGCACAATCTCGCAACTCTGAGCTCCCAGATGCCGCGCACGAGGTGGTCCAGCCTGGGGGCCCAGAGACCACATGTTACATATCCTTGGGACCCTGGGAGCCCCAGGAGGCCCCAACAGAGCTCCAGGAGGCCGCAGGACGCCCAGGACAAGCCCCAGGGGTCCCCAGGAGATTCCCAGGAGGCTCCCAGGAGGCCCCAGGAGGCCCCATATCAGAACGTGTCAAGTTAATACACATCCGGTGTCGATTCGTTGATTTTTCCTGCTCTTGTGCCCCCCCATTTTGAGAGGCCCAAGCGGCCACAGGTTAGATATCCCCCCTGGGAGCCCCAAGAGGCTTCAGGAACCCCAGGTGGAGTTCAGGAGGCCACAGGAGGCCCAGGAGGAAGCCCCAGGAGGAAGCCCCAGGAGGTCCCCAGGAGGCCCCAGGAGGCCCCCGCAACTCGGAGCTCTGAGACGCCGCGCTCGAGGTGGTCCGGCCCGTTTCGCCTGAGACTTCCTCGCAGCACGTTTCGCCCGAGACACCGGCCCGTCTCGCCTGAGACATCCTTGCAACTCTGAGCTCTGAGATGCCGTGCGCAAGTTGGTCCGCCCCGTTTCGCACAAGACATTCTCGCAACCCTGAGCTCCCAGATACCGCGCACGAGGTGGTCCAGCCTGGGGGCCCAGAAGACCACATGTTACATATCCCCCCCAGGAGGCCCCAGAGAGCTTTAGGAAGCCGCAGGACGCCCAGGTCAGGCCCCAGGGGTCCGCAGGAGATTTCCAGGAGGCTCCCAGGAGGCCCCACCCCAGGAGGCCCGCTATCAGAACGTGTCAAGTTAATACACATCCGGTGTCGATTCGTTGATTTTTCCTGCTCTTGTGCCCCCCCCCCCCCCATTATGGGGGGCCCCGACGGCCACATGTTAGATATCCCCCCTGGGAGCCCCAGGAGGCCCCATTCAGGACGCCCATGTGGGGTCCACGAGCACACGAGAGGCCCAGGAGGAAGCCCCAGGAGGTCAAATAGGAGGACCCCAGGAGGCCCCCACAACTCGGAGCTCTGAGACGCCGCGCTCGAGGTGGTCCGGCCCGTTTCGCCTGAGACTTCCTCGCAGCACGTTTCGCCCGAGACATCGTCGCAACTCTGGGGTCCGAGATGCCGCGCGCGAGGTGGTCCAGCCCGTTTCGCCTGAGACATCCTCGCAACTCTGGGCTCCGAGATGCCCTGCGCGAGGTGGTCCGGCCCATCTCGCCTGAGACATCCTCGGAACTCTGAGCTCTGAGATGCCGTGCGCAAGGTGGTCCTGCCCGTTTAGCACAAAACATTCTCGCAACTCTGAGCTCTCAGATGCTGCGCAGGAGATGGTCCAGCCTGGGTGCCCAGAAGACCACATGTTACATATCCCCCCTGGGACCCTGGGAGCCCTAGGAGGCCCCAGAGAGCTTCAGGAGGCCGCAGGATGCCCAGGACAGGCCCCAGGGATCCGCAGGAGATTCCCAGGAGGCTCCCAGGAGGCCCCAGGAGGCCCCCTTACAGAACGTGTCCATTAATCCGCCGACCCTGTCGGCGTGTGCGAGGGGCTTCTTCCGTTCGACTCGTCGTCCCGTCGTCTCCGCTCTCCCCTATCGAAAGCGAAATTAAACGACGTCGTAGTGGAGTCGAATGGAAGCCCCTTCCCTTTGATCCCTTCCCCGCAGGGGAGGGAAGGGGGGGGGAAAGCCCGGGGCAGATACGACGCCCGCCGGGGCGCACTTTCCTCGAGCGGGCACGCACGGGATGCACTTCCTCCTCCTCCTGGTCCTCCTCCTCCTCCTCCTGTTCCTCCTCCTCCTCCTCCTCCTCCTGCTCCTCTCCTCCTTATCCTCCTCCTCCTCCTCCTCCTCCTCCTCCTCCTCCTCCTCCTCCTCCTCCTCCTCCCGCAGAGGCGTCCCGAGAGCGGGCCCCGAGTCAAAATACCACCCCCCTAGGGCGCATTTTCCTCGAGCGGGCACGCCCGAGATGCACTTCTTCCTCTTCCCGGAGCACGTCCCAAGTCAGAATATCACACTCCCGGGGCGCACTTTCTTCGAGCGGGCACACAAAGGATGCATTTCCTCCTCCTCCTCCTCCTCCTCCTC